CTCAGGTCATGAGCTCAGGGTCGTGAATTTGAGCCCCGCATCGGGCTCCACACTCAGTATGGAGTCTGGTGGAGATTCTCTTTCCCTCTCCATCTGCCCCTCCCCCCACTCACTGCTTGCACACGCACTCTCACATTCTCTTAAATAAAACAATAATAAACTCAGCCAAGCTCCCAAACCACAACCACCCACTCGAGGAGGAGAGGTCCGAGTACTACTGTATGTGGGGCTATGGTCACCAGACTCTGCAGACAGGCCACACACACATGCTCTTTCGCCCTAGCTCATGAGCAGAATGTAGCTCCTTTATTCTACTCATTTCATGGAGAGTTCCAATGCCTAAATTCCTGTGTGACTGTTAACTGATGGTGTATAATGAAGAATGTGGCTGGTCTTTGTCCCTGGTTCCTGAGAGGGAACCTCTAAGTCCTTGGCAAGTCTGTCATTCATGGTGGGCCCTGAGCTTTTGCTTACGAGGGGACTCACAGAGGGCCCCTAGATAGTTCCAGGATGAGCGCTGGCCATACTGGAAGACCAGTCGAGTGATCAGAGGTTTGGGCATTGAGCCATGGAAATCATCCCAATATCCTGGGAGAGGAGAGGGCCTAGAGACTGAAATCAAATACACGGCCAATGATTCAATCAATCATACCTGCTTAACAAAGCCCCTTAAAAACTCTAGACTCCACAGCTCGGGTGAGCTTCCTCGTTGCTGATGAACATCGGTGTGCTGGGGGGGGGGGATGTCCAGAAGATAGGGAAGGTTCACATTTGGGACCCTCCCAGGCCTCACCCTGTCTCTCGTCTGGCTGGCTCTGATTTGTCATCCTACTGAACTATCAAAGTCAAGTGGGTAGCAACCCCCAAATCTGTAGCTGGTTGGTCAGAGGTGCGGATGGCCTGGGACCCCCTAAGCTTATGGCTGGGGTCCACAGTGTGAGCACTGCGTGGAGGAGTAGGCCCTGGGCGGTCTGTGTCAACACTGCACTGCAATGGATAATCTTTAAGACACTTGCAGATCAGGTTCTAAATATAACTGACTTTTTTGAAAAACACAAGCCAGTGAAATAAAAAACAAAAGAAAGCAAGAAGTGAGAGGACTATTCTAGAATACAGAATTGAAACGAAGAGACCTAAGGCAAGGGTCGTGGATTTTAAAAGTTATAAAAAGGGGCGCCTGGGTGGCTCAGTCGTTAAGCGTCTGCCTTCGGCTCAGGTCATGATCACTGGGTCCTGGGATCGAGCCCCGCATCGGGCTCCCTGCTCAGCGGGAAGCCTGCTTCTCCCTCTCCCCCTCCCCCTGCTTGTGTTCCCTCTCTCGCTGTGTCTCTCTGTCAAAAAATAAATAAAATCTTTAAAAAAAAATTAAAAAATAAAAAATAAATAAAAGTTATAAAAAATATGTTGAGCACTATTACTGGAAATTGGATCCTACGTTAGATATTATGGAACCAATATTGACCTTCTAAGTGTGATGACAGTCTGCGGTTATGTGAGAACGCCCTCGTCCTTGGGAGACACCTGCTGCAGAATCTCAGGGTGTCAGGAGGTCTGCAATCAATTTGCAAATGGTTAAAAAAAAAAAAGTGCTGGTATGCATAGAGAGGAAACTGACAAAGTGAAGGGTATATAGCCATTTAAATTATCATTCTGTCAACTTAAAGTAGGTTTGAATTTTTTAAAAATAAAAACTTGGGGAAAACGCATCAGCAAAAGTTTCAAAAAGGGAAAGAAATGAAGAAAATGTGATAAAAAATGTAAAATCATGGAAGCTGGGTGATGGGCATATGGGGGCCACATACCATTCTACTTCTGTGTAGGTTTTAAGTTTCAAACTAAAATGTCTTTTAAAGATTTTTTTTTTTTTAATTTATTTGACAGAGAGAGAGAGACAAAGCAAGAGAGGGAACACAAGCAGAGAGTCAGAGGGAGAAGCAGGCTTCCCGCAGAGCAGGGAGCCCGATGCGGGGCTCGATCCCAGGACCCTGGGATCATGACCTGAGCCGAAGGCAGACACTTAACGACTGAGCCACCCAGGCGCCCCTAAAATGTCTTTTAAAAATGGTATCAGAAAGGTTTTCCCTTGAAAACATATGGTATCACCAGTAATCTATACTTTAGCCTGTTATCTTGGTTCCTCCTTCAGTAAGAGATTTGTTCTTTCGTTTGACATTTTATCAGTTTCCGAAGTACGTTCTATGTTCAGAACAGGCTGCCAGGGTCTCCGGGGTTATTAAGGAGCAATCAAGGTAAGTCACAGTTCCCACCTTTCTGTCTAGTTGTAAAACACGGTCTGGGTGACCCAAATACGGAACCCAGAATGGCAGTGGATGTAAAAAAGGGCCCGGGGAGAGAAAATCAGTGTGGGTTGGAACCTATCATGTAGGTGGGACTCGATTTGAGATTTCCTCCCCGGAGGGAAGAAGGGAAGAAGAGGCTAAAGGCACGAAGCCAGCCGGGATCCACAAAAGCGGGCCAGACCGGAGCTATGGGACCGGCTAGGACCAGACGGACAGAAATGTCCGACAGTGTGACCAGAAACAGGGACCTGCAGACGGAGGAGTCTGAGGACACCGAGAGATGCTGGGCCTGGAGTCCTGAAACACAGGAGCGGATAGCAGAAATCAGGAAACTGGGTGATGCGCGGGAATGTAGGTTAATTTCTCGGCATGTTGAGTTCAAGCTCACATTTGTTGCCTACTTCACACCGTATGCTCCACTTACACCAAAATCCTTGAAAATCGCCTGATGCCACTCCTCACCTGCTGTCCTCCACGCCTGCAGGCTTCATGGGGCCTCCCTTGTCCACCGGCACACGGAGTCTTCAGGAAGCCGCCAGGGAGCGTGCGAAGGATCAGGGTCCAGAAACTCATCTGGTTGCGAGCCTGCCCACCCAAGCCAGCAATGCACCGGGAGCCATAAGTACCAGCCGTGGCCGCCGCCTCCAGAGGCCTGAGCCCCCCACCCGACCCCCGGACTCTTGGGAATCCTTCAGGCTCACAGCCCTGCCATCCTTGTCCCTGTTCAGTGCCCAAGACATCAGCTCCTCGGGTCACTTTGCATTCTTACAGTCTGCTCCCACGCGGTCCTCTCTCCCGATCCCAAACCCCGCTATCCCTCCCCCACCCCGTTTCCTCTGCACGCTCCGGGACCCCCATTCCAGAGTGAGCAAAGTCACCCACATCCTCCGCCTCCTCACTGAGGGCTCCGCAGACGACCCTCCCAGGTGAGGACACCCCCTCTCTCCCCTCCCCCGCTCCCAGACCTGAGTCAGGCACAAAGTCGCTGGCATCCTGCTCACTCACCCCTCCTCTCCAGTGGTCCTGACCTCTGGGTGGATCTCACCCAGGAAGATCATTAAGAACAAAAACCTCCACTCTTGTTTCAAAAAAGAAAGCACTTTTTATTCCAAAAGAGTGGGAGGGGTATTTTCTTGGGATGAAGGACACTCCTCTAGGTGAGGTCATTTAGCTTTACGGAGGGCTGGCCCTTCAGCACTCGTGTGTGGGTGTGTACGCGTGCGCGTGGCCGAGCCCCCCCTGCATGTGAGGGACACATCCCAGGCCCCGCCCCTCGGCGCCCTCAATTCCAGGGAGCCCCCCTGCCTCTCCACCACTCACTCCCGTGGCCGCACCGCCCACTCTTCCTGTTGACACCCGTATCCCCAACGTCATTTGTTCTATTCCATCGAGGCCCCGAGCGCTCTGTCCTGACCAGTCTACTCCCTCCCAACCATCCGCTCCCCTTTGCCCGTACCCCACTGTGACAGCTTCTCGGGCCAATGTTCTCCGTTCTCTTGCTCTGCTGTCCCCCATTTGCAGAGATGCAATGGTTCCACCTTTTGATGGACTGGATCAGGTTCCACTCCACCGCTCTCCGGTGGAGGGCTGCCTACAGCAATGACCTCAACCGCCTCCCGCCTCACTCCATCTGCTCCCTGTGGCAGCGCGTCCCACACCCAGCCCGGCCTTGGCCATGTGTCTCGCTTGGGATTGGGAAGACAGCAAACGAGACAGAAGCAGGAACTCGAACAAGGCTCCCACGCTGGAGCTCGCCCGCTTGCTGCTCCTGGAACGTTGCCCCCGTGTAAAAAGCCCGGGACAGCCCGCTGGAGAACGCGAGGATATGCACAGGTGAAGGCAAGGCCCCCCAGCCTGCAGTCAGCCAGCACCCCCCACCCCAAGCCGGCCGCAGGTGCAGGAGTGGGCCCAGGTCCGCTGAACCACCCAGCTGAGCCCGACCCAATTGCCAGGAGAAGTATTTTAAGCCATGAAGTTCCAGGGTGGTTGACTGCTCAGGAAAAGCTAACTTGTACAACCCCGAGGCTAAACAAAGCTAGGAGAAAATGTACACAACAAGCAGACCGGAGCCCTCCATTTCTACCTCTCCTCCCTCCTCTTGTGTCAGATACCGGAGTTGCGACATCATGGAAAAGAGAAGCCACAGACGAGAAGTTTCCAGCCCTGCCTCCCTCCCGCCCGCCCCCCCCCCCCCATTTAAACTCGCTCACGATAAACACTCCACCACTAACAGCAAAACTCGGTCAATCTCCATCCACACCGCAGCTGGGCTGGTCTTTCTAACGATCCTTTTCCAGGCCAATCTAATGGCGTCCTGCCGTGGACACGGCTTCATTCACTCCCGACACTCTAGCACTCGGCACACGAGGCACACGACCGTCGGTCGCCTGCGCCGGGTGACGTGGACACGCTGCTGTAATGTCCAGGAGGCCACCAGGTGCGTGCGAAAACGAAAGACGTAAGTTTCACAGAGAAACACTGCGAAATGTGGGAGACGCCCGGTGTGACAGCCAAACAGGGACCCCCGATTTAAGCAACCTGTATCATCTTAGTCTTAAAATGATTAACTGCAAGGTTCACATCAAATTCTTGAAATAACTGCTCTACTTTCCCCCTCCCCCCAAACACATACACACAAAAACAATCGCTTTAGTTTCCAACAGAATCAAAAACAAGTCCGAACGTTCAATATTTACTTACGTGCAAAGAATTGACTGGTCCTCACGATCTATAAAACAAAACAAAACAAACAAAAAAACAAAATGACCATTTGCCTGGTTTTTTTTTTTTTAAGACTTCATATAATCAAGTTGCAGTCACGGCCCACATCACATTGGGAACTCCGCTCCTCTCTCGTAAGGCTTCCCCACCCCTCAGGGGGGTAAACGATGGCCCAGGCTTCGAAGGCTTTATATGCCTCGCCCAGGCTTCGAAGGCTTTATATGCCTCATCAACCTTGATGCTCAAGCCCTGCTACACATCAGCATCACCTGAGAAGCCCTATAAGGATGAGTCCCCAGGGCTCCTCCCTCACTGAATCAATTTCAGGGGGGTAGGGATTGAAACGCCCTCTCTAAGTAAGCTCCCCAGGTGATTCTGATGCAGGGTCAGGTTTGGAAACCCCCACCTTTCAGAACGGCTTCCAGAACACCCACAACCGGAGAGGAATCGTTACTAACTTGACCTTAAAGGAGAAAAAAATAGTAATAATCACACACTAAGTGGAGAAGGTTGAAGAGAGACAAACATCGGGGCGCCTGGGTGGCTCAGTTGGTTAAGCGACTGCCTTCGGCTCAGGTCATGATCCTGGAGTCCCGGGATCGAGTCCCGCATCGGGCTCCCTGCTCGGCGGGGAGTCTGCTTCTCCCTCTGACCCTCCCCCCTCTCATGTGCTCTCTCATTCTCTCTCTCTCAAATAAATAAATAAAATCTAAAAAAAAAAAAATTTTATAAAAAAAAAAGAGAGAGACAAACATCTGCATGAAGTTTAAGCCGTATACATCCCCAAAATAACAAAAGAACGTGCCATGGGGAAAAAAACCTCACATGATTTTAAAGTGATAAATGATTTGAGTCTTCAGCTTGGTTTTTCTTTTTTTTTTTTTTTAAAGATTTATTTATTTATTTATTTGAGACAGAGAGAATGAGAGAGCACATGAGAGGGGGGAGGGTCAGAGGGAGAAGCAGGCTCCCCGCCGAGCAGGGAGCCCGATGCGGGACTCGATCCCGGGACTCCAGGATCATGACCTGAGCCGAAGGCAGTCGCTTAACCAACTGAGCCACCCAGGCGCACCTCAGCTTGGTTTTTCAAAGGAAAGGGTGAAATTCAAACCCACGTCCAGCCCACGGATGAACCTGCAGCGTGGGATGCAGGACCTCCAGTCACTTCCGAGCCTGATTATCTATTTAACAGGAGAGAAATGTTCCTAGAGGGGGTCCCGTGGCTGCTGAGGGGTGAGGGCTGGCGCCGGTCTCTGCTACCTGTGTTGTCAACACCGCTAACCAAGGGGCCGCTGCTTAGACGGGGACTGTGCTCACAGGGCCTGGCCCAGCGACGTCTTCTGTCACCCCTGTGCTGAGCGTGCTTCCCCTGGAGTGGTTGCCATCGGGGGACCCGATAAGGGCCCCACAGTGGTTCAGGCATCAACAGCCTTTATCAGAGAGAAATCAAGAGTTCATGCACTCTATCATAATATAATTACAATAAACAAATGCACGTGTATATTCTGTGTAAACACCGAGTTCTACAAAGAGCATCCTTACCTCTGACTAGCTCCTAACCACCGTTGTATCCCTCCCTCCAGCTGCACAGGCACCATCCCAGGACCGGGCTGACCCCTGCCTCCTTTACTGGGGTTACTGGTTCTCTTTCCCAGGGGCCACGCCATGCCCTTCCTTCCACACGCCTCCCCCCGCCCAGACCCACAGACACTGTTAGCTCCCTACGTGTCCTTCCGTGCTCAGCTCAGCTGGGGCCCCTCTGGGGAAGCTTCCCAGACCTTCTCCCTCTGGCTCCTCAACGTGTCCTTCTTTTGACCCTATTCTGGAGTAGACGATGCCACCGACTGCCTGCTCCCTAGAACGTGCTGCCTGAGATCAGGCTGTCTTCTGTCCTTACTCTCATGCTGACAGTTAGCCTTGATTAGGGTGGCTGAGCGCTGGGCACTGGTGAGACCATGGGCATTGGGCTCCTGTGTGCTGGTCCCCCCACCCCGCTCTGCTGCAAACTCACTTCGCATCTATGAACGCAGTATCGATATCTTGCTGATACTAGGATTTTATCAGGTCCTTGATCATTCACTGTAAATAGGACCCTCCAGACCCCGACATTCTCTAGGTCTCAGCAACTTCTATAGAACTCCACTACGCCAAGTTTCTTATGGCTTTTCCGAACTGGTTCACACATTAAAAACATCAAAATGCATTCAAATTAACCAAAATTCAATTGCCTCCTAATTAGTTCAGAATGGCTTTCCTCCTGCCTCTGTACATACTCATTATCACTGAAGCTGGAGACCAACACAACCACCGCCTACCCTTCGATTCTGCTCCATACTTCACTCTCCATGCTTCTCACCCCCGGCCCAACCAAAAGCAGAACAACTCTGCTAGCCACACTTAATCGATCCTCCGTGTTTGTCGGTCTGGTCTTGTATGGCTTTGGGCCTCAGTTTCCCTATCTGTCCAATAAGGGTATGGGCTTGGGGCGCCTGGGTGGCTCAGTCGTTAAGCGCCTGCCTTCGGCTCAGGTCATGATCCCAGGGTCCCGGGATCGAGCCCCGCATCGGGCTCCCTGCTCGGCGGGAAGCCTGCTCCTCCCTCTCCCACTCCCCCTGCTTGTGTTCCCTCTCTCGCTGTGTCTCTCTCTGTCAAATAAATAAAATCTTAAAAAAAAAAAAATAAGGGTATGGGCTTGATCACCTCCAAGATTCTCTCCAATTGTGATCCCACCACTCCTCCCTTCCACGTCATGAATCCTCGCACTATAATGATGCACAATGACCTTGATCTCTAAAAACCCGTAAATGGAACCAAAGCCTCATACTGATATTTAAGGGAAACAATTTCACTTTCAAAAATGTAACTAGCCTTCTGAAGGCTAGTTGCAGACTCCTTTCCTGGCTCAGTGTTAGACTCCCATAAAGGTCCTCGATAAATCCACGCCGAGTTAAATCATATTTCAACGGTGGAAATGATTTCAAATCAATGACCTCGGCTCCTACCGTAAAAAACTAGAAAAAAGCAAAAGGAATTTGAATTAAATAGAAGCCAGGAAATGAGAAAGAACAGAAATCAATGAAATGGGGAACAGGAAAAAGAAAAGAAAAGGAATCGAATTCTGGTTCTTCGAGAAAAATCATATAGTTGATAAACCTCTAGGCGAACTGATCAGGAAAAAGACACAAATGACCAATATCTGAGAATAACTGCCCTGAATCCCAGTCTGACAACTACGATGAAAGGGACAACTTTTTAAAAAGACTCAAACTGCTAAAGCTCATTCCAGAAGAAATAACCTGATTGGGCCCCATTATCTATTAAAGAAATTGAATTTGTGGAACTCCTAAAATGTCAATGATACCTCAGTTAAAAAACAATCGAATGTGTAATTAAAAACCTTCCCACAAAGAAAACACACTTCACCGGTGAATTCGACACAACATTTAAGGAAAAAAATCATACCAAACTGTTCACAAAACTGAAAAGGAAGGAGTAGCTCCCAACCCCTTCTCAGAGACAAGCCTTATCCTGACACTGTGACTACAGAGACATTATAATATGAAAAAATGACAGGTATCTGTCATCAGCAAGGACACGAAAATTCTTAACACCGTGCTAGCAGATCCACTCCAGCAATACGGAGGGGGACACGTGATGAGCAGGTGGCATTTGTCCTGCAAGGCAAGGTTAGTTCAATGTCCAAAGGCAAACAATCTAACTCACTGTGTCGACAGACTAAAGAACATCCCCTAGTCATCTAACAGATGGAGAAAAAGCATTCGACAAAACTCAACATCCATTCAGGATTTTAAAACACCTGAGCAAACTAGGAATACAAGAGACTTCCGTGAATCTGGTAAACAGCAGGTTCAAACAACCCATACAACAACACTACCCTTAATGGCGGAAAACTGAACGCTGTCCCCGAGACCAGGAACGAGGCGAGGACGAATGCTGTCACCACACCTATTCAACAGTACAAGGCCAGGAAAAAATCCAAAGCATAAGACGGGAAGGACCTAGCGATGTCTCTGCAGAGGACATGATGGTCTCCACAGAAAATCCCAAACATTCGACCAAAAACCCTTGCAGAACAAGTGAGTTTTGCAAGGTTCTAAGATACACAATGCCGGGGCGCCTGGGTGGCTCGGTCGTTGAGCATCTGCCTTCGGCTCAGGTCATGATCCCAGGGTCCTGGGATCGAGCCCCGCACGGGCTCCCCGCTCGGTAGGAAGCCTGCTTCTCCCTCTCCCACTCCCCCTGCTTGTGTTCCTGCTGTCACTCTCTCTCTGTCAAAAAAAAAAAAAAAAAAAAAAGATACACAATGCCAATACGTATATTTTTAAAATATTTCTATATATCAACAGTGTGCAATTGGAAATTTTTTTAATTTAAAGTTCCATTTAACCCTAAAAAACATGAAACACTTACTTACTAGTTAAGGTGTATATTTTACTTCGGTATAAATCTAACGAGAACGGAGTTTGCGATTTTTGCCATCAAGTTTATGTCCAAGAACTCTCCTGTCATTCATTCATTCAACAAACGTCTCTTGAGCACCTACTACGTGCCAGACACACTCTGCGTTTTATTAATATGGAATCCCCTAGAATCCAAACTTAGGGGAAAAGGTCAGCTCTCTTCTGTTTTTGTGCATTAAAGAAGCAAACTCTGTTCAGTGGGACGCTATGCTCTGAATCCTCCCCTGGTCCCTTCTCTAGGTATAGATCCTCTTCACTGGCCCAGTGGCATTTAGCTGCTTTGCTCACGCTGGTAACTGAAAGCCTACATGGAGCAGCTCTGGTAGGTAGCATAAGCCATACTTTGACTACCCTAGTGTGTGTCCCAACCCAACTGCGTTGTGTAGGACGTCAGCATGTGGCCCCCGACCTATAGAGCGGAATGTGATGGAACTGTTTGGGGGGGGGGTCTGTTTGTATTTTGTGTCACACTTTTCAATTATTATGTAATGAAAACTATCAACTAATTCTTTTTAATTTTTTTAAAAGATTTTATTTATTTATTTGACAGAGAAAGAGCAAGCAAGCACAAGCAGGGGGAGAGGGAGAAGCAGACTCTGAGCAGGGAGCCCGACACGGGACTTGCTCCCAGGACCCTGGGATTACGACCTGAGCTGAAGGCAGATGCTTCACCAACTGAGCCACCCAGGCGCCCCTCTTTTTAATTTTCATATGGAATTTTATTATTGTGGAAAAGAATGTGTCACACTGCCTTGGTTTTGAATCCTAGCTCATAACCTCTTACTATCTACATTTTCTTGGGTCAAGTTTTTAACTTTTTTGTGCCTCAGTAAAATAGGGACAGCAATTCTTTTGACTTTATAGGATTGTTGTTGCAGATTACATCGTGCACATGAAACATTTAGCCCCAGTGCCTGGCACACAGAAATATTCAATAAATGTTCATTCTGGCATTAATGATGATAATATTGGTGATAATACGATATGCTGGTAAGCCACATCCTCCTTGCTCCATACGCATGTAGCTGCTCTGGCAACCCAATAATGGGACGTTAACATTTAACCACTGTTAACTATTTTGTTAGATTCAATTTTTCCATTCAACCTGTCAAGATAATTTTAAAAATCCTGTTTCTTTTCATCAAATGCATTTATTGCATTGACGTTTCACATCATCTATGCATTTCACGGGCAAGTCTCCCTCATCTTTAGGTATACTGATAAAAATGTCCCAACGGGATACCCGCTGGTGGACACCCTGGCGAAGCTGACAGCCTCCAGCACCACCCAGCACCACCCAGCACCTCCGTGCACCTTTTCTGCAAACAGCCACGAGGACGTCACGGAAGACCGTGGGATGGCACGATTCTCTGTTAAAGCTGTCCGCTATAATTTCGCTTCCCACTGAGCTAAAGGAATGTGGGGCATATTTTCATGTTGTTCTCAGGCTGTTAACAATAGATTCTAGAGTCTTCCCTGGTAGGTATGCGAAGCTCAGCAGCCTGAAGCTTCTTGGCCTTTTGAAAAGTTAGAATTGTACACGTGACCCTGCCCCCTCCCCCACCTTCTGGAAACTCCCGTTCTAGATAACACTTCAGGAACCAGACAGGGTCGACCATCTCGACTGGGAGAATGGACTCATTTCGATGAGGAAATACGGATTCAACAGAGAAGGAGTACACTTTCTCCAATTTCTTCTCCCCTATAAGGCGAAGTTTGCTCCTTCACAGAAATGCTTTTCTGTGTATATAAGGCTTATTCTTCTTCACAGAGACACAGACCCGAAAGCAAAGCAGCTGACCCTCCTTTCTCCACGATCAGCAACTCACCACAGCTGCAGGCATTTCTATGGATTCTCTGGTCTGAAACTAAGAAAGGGTGTGAAACTTCATCTTTTTTCAGCCTGAATGAACTCTGGATATTCACCTGTCCCTTCCCATCGATGACGCTCCTCTAGGTCTGAAGTACTTCCTGTCTGCCAAGGGATCTGGTCTAATGCACGTGTGAACAAGACGAGAAGTGGGTGATGGGCACTGCACTTGGTGAAGGCCCTCACACCGCCCTGCAGACTCAGACCCAGCCTCCGAGACCCGCAAGGCGGTGACAGGTGGAGGCAGCCTCTCTCGTTCCCTGAAGATCACCCACCTATTTTATAAGAACCGATAGACCTAGGGTGCCTGGGTGGCTCAGTCGGTGAAGCGTCTGCCTTCGGCTCAGGTCATGATCCCAGGATCCTGGGATCGAGTCCCGCATCGTGCTCCCTGCTCAGCAGGGAGCCTGCTTCTCCCTCTGCCTCTGTTCCTCCCCTCCTGGTCCTGCTCGCTCGCTCTGTCTCTCTCTCAAATAAATAGATAAAAAAAATCTTAAAAAAAAAAAAAGAACCGATAGGTCTTATCATACTTTATCAAGTTTCTTTTTTAAAAGATGAAAGGAGAGGGAGCGTGACTACAGATCTCACATGGCGCCAGGAAGGCCCACGTTTAATGCAGTCTTTTTGAGCGATAATGTGAAACGTGTTCAAAACTGCTATGTTCTGGTTTTCAGGAAAATATCCCTCCATAAACCATCGTGTCTAAGGTCATGATGCAAATGAATGACTCTTCCAATTTATATTTCATCCTCAATCCAAAGGTGAACAGTCGAGATCAACCAACTTGCCCTGTGCTTTCTAACTTTTGTTTTAAGACAGAAATATTTTATGATCTTTCTTTCCCCAGCAGAGCTTCTATCTACCTTTTCTATTATTCCTCCCGTGGCTCTTGCTGTTGAGTTCTAATACCTAGTGCAGGAGAGCTTCGAGCACACCGGCTTGTAGTGGATGGAGAGCAAATGTATATAAAAACTAGATGCTTTTTAATGAAAAAATGAACATGAAGTAGTTAGGAAGGCAATCATAACTTCCTCCAGAAAATGACCACACTGCCCGTTCGAATTGTAATAATTCAAAATTCTTCTACAATATACAGCTATGACTTTTCTTTTTATTTATTTATTTATTTTTAAGCTTAAAGCCCTTTGGAGAACAAATCGGGACGCATACAAAAACCCTAACCTACACTTCAGAAATTGAGTATTTAGGAGGCTAGCACTTCCAGTTACCTTGAAGCATGCATCTGTAAGCAGATTCAGAGATGGCATAGATGTGCGGTGGCACCTCGTGGCGCTTCTTCCCTCTGTACATCTCAATAATATTCTCAGAGTAAATTGGAAGATTCTTGTAAGGATTTATGACTACGCAGAAGAGTCCAGAGTAAGTCTAGAAGAAAAATAAAATACAGAGTTAAAAAAAAAACAACCTGCACAGATCAGACAGCCAGAAACCACACAGTGCCTGGAACAGGGGCCTTCAATGATCTGAAAAGGTGGTTATTAGAGAGATTTGCAAAAACGTAAAACTTGGGCACCTGGGTGGCTCAGTCGGTTAAGCGACTGCCTTCGGCTCAGGACATGATCCTGGAGTCCCGGGATCGAGTCCCACGTCGGGCTCCCTGCTCGGCAGGGAGTCTGCGTCTCCCTCTGACCCTCCCCCCCTCATGTGCTCGCTCTCTCTCATTCTCTCTCTCTCAAATAAATAAATAAAATCTTAAAAAAAAAAAAAACGTAAAACTTCTCTGATTTTTTTGCTTTGGAAAATATAGTTTATTTTTTTCATGAAAGATAATTTACTTACGTTACCTTGTCATACATTTATTTTAAATGAACTTATCTGAAGAAATCAATGATTTACTATTTTTAAGTGAATTCATAAGTATGTTTTAACTTTGCTATCCTTTCAGATACAGATAAACCTAACCCACACAAAAGCTCTTTGGGGAGAAGCCTCAGTAATTCATTTTTAAAGGTTCTGTTTTCAAGTCATCTCGACACTAGCGTGGGGCTCGAACTCACAACCCCGAGACCAAGAGTCGTGCGCTCCACCCACTGAGCCAGCCGGGCACCTCGCGGGTCCCCAATAATTTTCAAGAGTTGTTAGCGCTGAACACACAAACCTTTCCTGATCAGCACGATAACCACTATTCAAAACTGATACAGAGAGCACTTTTGATTTGGGGGGTTTCTCAGTTCACCAAGAACGGTTTCTGAGAACAGCGTGCCAAACTGCCCCTGGGGATGGTGGCAGGAGGGCCCGAGGCTTCTGGAAAGGGCAGCCCATCACACCGGGATGCAGGCCTTCTCTTCAAGGGGACCTGGGTGACCATGTCTCCAGGCAGGAGGACAGTAAAGAGGCTGGGGACTGATGGTGTCCAGTGCCAGGACCGGCCTCCCCAGGGACACGAGGGGCTTCTCAGCAACAGCTGCATTCATACAGGCGGCTCGGGTCCCCACCACCGTGGCACCCACTCCCAGGCCAGCCAGGGGTCTTAGTAAGGGGGAGAAAACGAAGGCCAGGCAACCTCGATTTCACATTTTATCGAGTTACACTTGTATACAGTCACGTAGACAAGTCATAACGATACAGCTCAATGAATTTTTATATATACCTCACTTTTCCGTTCAAAAATAAGATCACAGGGGCACCTGGGTGGCTCAGTTGGTTGGGCGACTGCCTTCGGCTCAGGTCATGATCCTGGAGTCCCGGGATCGAGTCCCGCATCGGGCTCCCTGCTCGGCAGGGAGTCTGCTTCTCCCTCTGACCCTCCCCCTTCTCATGCTCTCTCTCTCTCTCATTCTCTCTCAAATGAATAAATAAAATCTTAAAAAAAACAAACCAACAAAAATGAGATCACAGTCTGTCACAAAGCTACACATTCTACACTTCACCTTCGTAAGAGGTAAATTACAGACCGGCCAAAAAGAAAAAACCGAAAACCACAACAAACACAAACAGAAAACCCCAAGAAAGTCAAAATGCGGAAGTTCAGTTTAGCATCCCACAGCATGTATGGCATGGCAGCAGGTCCTAACGACGACAGTTAAATCAGAAATCATCCCCACATACGTGTCTCCCACGTGGTGGGTGCTTTTCTGAGGTCTAGGGTTACAAAGATGACTCAGTCTCACAAATAGGAGTACGTCATCTCAAAACAGGGTTAATCATCATCAGTACCCCGTGCCTGCCAATGAGGGGGAGCAAAAAATGTTCACATGCAATATATTATTCAATTCCAATGCTTCAAGAGCTCCCTTCGAACCATCTGGAAACTGGCTCCAATACCAGGTTCCTGTAGAACTGATAATGGGAGTGATACTGTACCCCCTTTATGTCCCCCAAGGCACATGGCAGGTGGGTGGTATGTTGTTAAAAGAGGTCTCTGAGACTCCGACGTTCCAATTAGGCTTCATTCAGTGTTTGAACACACATTCAAGACGTTACCTACCTTCAAGAAATACACACTCTAGGTACAAAGACAACAAACACACACTCAACAAACAAGACACAAAATAAGGCACTAAAAAGAAAGTGGGAAAGTAAGGGAGAAAGATGAACAGGATTGTAAATAGGACAGGAACTCCGGAGCAGAACATACAACCAACCCCACACCCTGAAAGTCACGGCCATCTCATCAGAAACCGTAAAATGAGGTATGAAATTCAGACATCGATGGTCTCTGATGTTCTTTTAAAGACTATTTAAAGGTCAAGAGGAGGGATAAAGAAATTCCTATTAAAGCATAAAACTGGGGGGCGCCTAGGTGGCTCAGTCGTTCAGTGTCTGCCTTCAGCTCAGGTCATGATCCCAGGGTCCTGGGATCGAGCCCCGCATCAGGCTCCCTGCTCGACGGGAAGCCTGCTTCTCCCTCTCCCACTCCCCCTGCTTGTGTTCCCTCTCTAGCTGTCTCTCTCTCTCTCTCTGTCAGATAAATAAATTAAATCTTTAAAAAAATAATAAAAATAAAATAAAATTAAAAAAACATAAAACTGGGTGGCAGGATATAGCCAAGGTGGAGCGAGAAGCTCAGCCTCGCTGAAAGTAGTTTGTACCATGGAATGTGCGCGGCGGGAGCTTAGAAAGGTGGACTCAACAACTTAGAGTGTGTCCTGCACAGGGGATCAGCTAGTAGAGGTTCAGGGGAGATGCAGGGAAGAAGCGTGTTTGTAAAAGCATAGATCTGGCAGCTCCACAGAAAAGACACTGAAAGGCAAGAGGTGAGGCGCGGGGAGTGGAGGCTACTGCACCAGTCCCAGCACAGGGACAGGGCTCAGATGAGAGGGAAGCGGTGGGTCCCGAGAACGCTGGGGGGAGGGAGACGCAGAGGCACTCAGAAGCTCTGAGTATAAAAACCATCAAAGACACAAGCTAACGACAGCCTCACGTTTGCAAGCTTGAGAGGCTGGAAATGTTACTGCCGGACAGGGACGATAACGAGCCCCTTGCAGCATACTGAGATGGTGGGATGCTGAAAGGGGTTTCGCCACAGCAGGCGAGCCCAGAACGCCCAGTGGGAGCCAGATGCACCGATGCTGAAGCCACGAGAACATTCTGAAGAAGCGCAAAGGCCTGAGGGTTGTCTGCACAGCCTTCAAGACACCAGCTCATGTCACTGCATAGCTGACCTAAGGGAGACAGACAAACACATCTGCACCCAAAAACCTGCCATTTTTTAAACATGCTATGCCGCTTTACAGCTCCAGGCTTCTATGTATGCGGATCACGCTGCCTGGAAAGCCCATCTCCTGTCCAGTATCGGGAGACTCTGCCCACCCTGTGAGTGCCAGGTCTCTGTTGAAGACAGGAATCTGCGCACACTTTATTTCAAGGTTCGAAGGATGCGGAACCAGGAAACGAGGGAGTGCGGAGGTCAAGGCCAGGGCACAGAGCGAACATGGGACCGAACTGGGGGCCTCACACACGCTGCCCCCCACCCCCCGGAGCTCTCGGGGGGACATCAGGCCACCACCCAGAGGGAGAGGTCACCCACACCGTTGGTAAACACTGCACCGACATAAATTCACATATGTGTTTAAAAAAAAACCTGATGTAAGAAGGAAAACATCATCATCCAGAAGTTTCAGAAAAGAATTTACCTATGGAAATCACTGATAAAATAAGCTAAAAGAATACTTTTGGAAACAGATTTAGAGCGGGTACTCCACATACTGGAACAGAAATGCATACGGGAAAAGAAGTGGCAAAGGCGAGCAAGGAAAAGCCGTAAGGAGTCATCTGAAATAAAAAACCAAAAATCCACCGCAGAGAAAATAGGGAGCAGAATGGATATCCAGAAATGCAGCAATAGAGTGCACCCATTATTCATCCTGAGAGCTTCCTTCTTAATGAAAAGTAGGCCGAAGGTACAATAATAAGAGAAAGAAGGCACGAGGGTAAAACAACAAAAATACTTCAAGGACAGATGAAGAGCGAAAGCAAAGCAAAGATCAATAAAATAGTAATCACTGCTGCTTCTTTGGGGGAAGAAAGGCCAAAATTCTGTAAAAAGAGCAAACATCAAAAACACACTTGAGGGGCGCCTGGGTGGCTCAATCTGTTAGGCTCAGGTCATGATCCCAGGTCCTGGGATCAAGTCCTGCGTCGAGCTCCCTGCTCTGCAGGGAGTCTGCCTCTCCCTCTCCCTCTGCCTGCCGCTCTGCCTACTTGTGCTCGCTCTCTATCTCTCTGTCAAACGGATAAATAAAATCTTGAAAAAAAAACCACACACACGAAACTGTCGCGTGTGTGTGGGCTCTAAGGAGATGATGCATCTGGACAGTGCTCCCCACTGGCGGCCAGATCCCCAGGCGAATGGCACGCAAGGACACTCTTAACACACGAATCCGGCCGACAAAACCCCAGACTCAGATGGACCCACCCCTCAACCTCAACCTCACAACGTGAGAGACCCTGGCATGAAGTGTCTTTTTAATCCGCATCTGATCGAGCCTCTGGACACGAATGCATGAACGCAATCAACAAAATCCAGAATATGGGAGGTTCTACGGCACAACAGACTCTGTTTCTTCAAAAAAAAAAAAAGAGGGGGAATGTATAGATTACAAGAGACGGAACAACTGATTACCATATGGTGACCACGCCTGGACCCTGACGCGAACAGACCAAACCAACTATGATAAACATTGATGAGAAAGAAGGACCTTGTGAAAGTGACTGAGTATTTGGTGATACAGGATCATTCTTTCCTTCTTCCGCAGACGATAGTTACAAACCCCAAACGCTGTGGCCGAGAAGCAAGAGGCTGAGCAGAGTGATGAGCAGTGCCCAAGGCCCGGAGGAGGGTGAACACCCCCCAGGTTTCCCCGGGGGGCCCCAGACGGCTACACCCTGAGAGTCGGGGGTGTGCCAGGAACACTGGGCCTTGC